TCACTGCGAAAGGGGTGACCACATCTAGCAAAGATGTTTTCATACAGTCACACAACCACTTATCAAGACAGCATCTAAAACGGCGAATGGCCCGACGGTGCAAATCGTCATAACTATTTATATACAGATCGACAAGCGGACGCTGAGCCTAAAACGGTTAGCGCCAAAAGCATTCTCATGCGTACTTTGTCCTTTGAATTAAGTACGACACCGGCGTTGGGCGGAATACGCACAACGTGGTGCATACATCTATCCGAGTATACGGGCAACCAAACGCGGGCGGGCAGGTTTAAATTCAACATCGCTAGTTCTGCGATTAGGCGTGCCGTCCTACCGTCCCGGTCGGGAATTTTCTTCAGGCGGTTTCCAATAGCCATTAACGCGTTCACGAACTCCTGCTCAGGCAGAAGCCTTGGCGCCTAAATATATAAGCATTTTTGAGGGCATGTTTCAAAATTATAGAAAACTGCAAAATAATGACTAAATATTTAAAGGATACTTTCATTTTGAGCCCGTAAACGACTAAGAGAACGTCTCCTTGGCATAAGATATTAACGTATTCTAACGTATTCTTGGTATTCTAACGTAGAAGTACGATAGTAAGATTCTAGATAGTCGATGCGTTTAGTTACCGATACAGATATGCAGGACTAGGTGAAAGAGAGGCAAGGTCAACGTCAGCTTAACACTGGGTGTAACTTATCATCCGCGTTTCTCGACCCACTGCTGGATGAAGGCCTCTCGAAGATTTTGCCATATACTTTTGTTAGCTGCTGTTTTCATCCATCTATATCCAGAAAACTTCTTCAGCTTATCCTGCCATCGATCCGAAAGCTTTCCTACGGGCCGTTTACTCTCTCCTGGAATGCAGCCGAATATCTGTCTGGTCCAGCAACGATCAATTCTTGTTGAAATGTATCCTGCCCATTGCTGCTTTAACTTCTTCACTTGGGCAATGATATTGACGACTCTAGTCTGTGCTTTCATCCATTCATTCGCCCTTTCCTATCTTTTCTTGTCATTCCTAATATGCGTCTTTAAATGCTGCGTGGCACTGTCTACGGTCTATGAACACTTTTCAAGCTCAGGGTCTGTTCTGCACCCATAGAATAACAGTGGGAGAACGCACTGATCGAATACATTACGTTTCAAGCACAACAGCAGTTTCCGGGATACCAACATTTTCAATCTTCCAAATGTGCTCCACGCCATATTTATTCTTCTGTTATTTTATATTGTTATTTTATATTTACTTTAGTCTTAAATCATTCCAAAGGTATTTCGTACC